CCCCCCCCCAATACATTGTAAGCCCTTTTTTCCTAATTCATTTATAAAATATATTTGACGTATTTAAATGAAGAAACTTAACTTCTTTAAGAATCAGTTATGATATATGTGTATATATTTACCGACATATCTTACAATAACAACCAATCTTGTTTGCCAGGATGGTAGCGCGCATAGAGTCTTAATGAGAAGTCCGGAGCTCCCGGAGAAATCTTAAGTGACCAGGAAAGTGACCCAATTACGAGTTGGCGACCATACGTTATATTAATAACCTGTTATGGAAATAAACTGATATGGTCCTTAAATGTCTATTGCCGTTATATGAATACATGTGCAATACACTTGTAAAGAGAAGTGGCGCTATATATAGGTATATTTAGGTCACTGAATTGATGTAATGTATCTAAATCTTTGTTGATTTCTTTTATTTGCTAAAACGTTGATTGAGAGATGGTGAAGTTACAATCGTAGCAAGCGTGCAATGTACCTCTGTTGTTACCACGAATATGTATTATGTGTTGCAATATTAAAAAGTACTCGTTGTAGAGATATCAGGCTGATGTATTTGTTATATTCGCACATCGCCTGGGAATGATATAAACAGTATAAATACTATTTTTTATTTGTATAATGTGACTAAAAAGAAGTACTGATACTCTTATAACCCAGTTGCAAGATGTTTTTTTTGTGTGTGAAATTGTAAGAATATATAAAATGTAGAGAAATGATAATTTTGTTACGATATGATACCAATAGGTATTAACAATTTGCATACGTGCATCTCAAATAAAAGTCGAATATCAACGCTAAAACGATCGTATCCATATAGTTACATGACAATACGCTTGGAAGTTTAAACGTTCGCAGTAAATACCGAAGCATAAAGTGAACACTTAATGGCATAATCTTGCATCTGTACATCAATTAATACTATATGTTAGATCCCCCATCATATGCCTGCATGCTGCACTTACCTTTACATGTACATAATCCAGGCTTGCTTTGTAAACTGATGTCAATATTCAACTATGTCAGTCACGCAGGAGAAGTTAAATATAGTTGTATATACTATTGGAGATTTCCGGCCCAACATGGCAAAGCTAATGTTTCTTACACTCTCCAGATATAAGCTTGACACTTGAACTAAAAATCCTCACTCTGGCTATAACGATAGACCGCGGTGGCTAGGTTTGTATATATACAGTAACAAAAACAGTTACGCACAGCAGGTGCTTCATACTAATTTAACAACTGTAGTTTTAGAAAACCAGATAACTATTAATTGCTAATTGTTTAAGTGCGACCACAGTATCATCTTTGATTACAGCTGGGGAAATCAAAGACTTAGTGAAATAGTTATAGGAAGAATTGGAGATTTTCCACATGTTTACACTTGTAAATTTGTTAGTCTACGTGTGTAATATCCTAAACGAATGTCTAACAATGGCGTCAGTGCCAGTGCATTACATGTACATGGTCGGGGCCTATACGACAGGTGTCGTTAAGTGGCCCCGGTACTGGATATTGTTATCAATGTAGATTTACTATCTCTTCTTATCTAACCTCACAGATTAAATTATGAATAGAACAAACGAATGGCAAAGACAATTTGACCAATTTCCCAGACATGGAACCACCCCAATGGACAGGGTGCTCTCATTTGCAGTATGGCACCAAGGCCGCGCGATTATTGGAGAAATGCCAAATAAAGGGCAGGGTGAATGTCATTTACGCCAATTTTTTTACTAATTTACATTTTTGATGATTACGTTAACATTAATTACAGAACTTGCATTTAACAAACACGATAATTAGCGCAACGAGAGTAACAAATTTCCCCAATGTGGAGGCGAATAAATAAGATTGAAGATAACCTCTTTGTAATCCTTCTGCATGGATGTGATAACGCTATGCATAGCTGTCACTGTATTAATGTATACATGGCAAAATAACTCAGCATACAGCATGTTTCCGTGTCCCCTTTAGAAGTTACCGTAAATGTAAAAAATTAATGTTATCTGTTTACAAACGCATTTTGATATATCGATAATGCCTCCTTGCAGATAAACATTGTTTTATTTATGTCGACAGATAAAGCGTTCCTTTGATCAGGAGTGTGTGTCTATCACCAAACTCCATAGTGACACGGCTAGATTATAAACGTACGTGCTATGCATCACGTTATTTAAAACAAATTCTAGAATTATCACCAGCTTTACCAACACACATGTCAGATAGCTGTGAACTTGTCGCAACTCTATGTACAGTATCTGTAACGTTCTGTGTTACACGTCAACGAGCAGTGTCATTGTTGGTTGTTACACATACAATGTCATATGTAGTGTACAAATGTATAACACAAACCACAAACTACATGTTTGAGGTAGATGTAGTCTATAATACGAGTAACAAGTATAATGTGTAAGGTACATGTAGTATATAACACGAGTCACAGGTATGATGTGTAAGGTACATGTAGTATATAACACGAGTCACAGATATAATGTGTCAGGTACATGTAGTATATAACACGAATCACAGGTATGATGTGTAAGGTACATGTAGTATATAACACGAGTCACAGGTATGATGTGTAAGGTACATGAAGTATATAACACGAGTCACAGATATAATGTGTAAGGTACGTGTAGTATATAACACGAGTCACAGATATAATGTGTCAGGTACATGTAGTATATAACCCGAATCACAGGTATGATGTGTAAGGTACATGAAGTATATAACACGAGTCACAGATATAATGTGTCAGGTACATGTAGTATATAACAAGAATCACAGGTATGATGTGTAAGGTACATGAAGTATATAACACGAGTCACAGATATAATGTGTAATGTACGTGTAGTATATAACACGAGTCACAGATATAATGTGTAAGGTACGTGTAGTATATAACAAGAGTCACAGGTATGATGTGTAAGGTACATGAAGTATATAACACGAGTCACAGATATAATGTGTAAGGAACATGTAGTATATAACACGAGTCACAGATATGATGTGTAAGATACATGTAGTATATAACACGAGTAACAAGTATAATGTGTAAGGTAGATGTAGTATATAAATAACACGAGTCACAGGTATAATGTGTAAGGTACATGTAGTATATAACACGAGTCACATATAAGATGTGTAAGGTACATGTAGTATATAACACGAGTCACAGATATAA